GGGGGGGGGGGGGGGGGGGGGGGGTGCTGGTCCCCCCCACCCCCAGGTCACGTCACCAAGGGGGGGGGACCAGGAGCCTGCGGGCCTGTGCTCACGCCTGTTCCGGGCTCCTCTGCACCCCCTAGTCTCTGGAAAGACTTTGCGGGAGACGTGCACACCTGTTCCTGCTTCCAGAAAAATGTTCTTACCAGAAAGGAGTGATGGAATCCACCCCGGCTCAGTTTCTAGAACGTCCACTGGGGCTGACACTTAAATCTTTTTAGTAGCACCAAAGTCCCTAAGTTATCTCTCAGCCCTCGTCCCAGGTAGGCTGCTTGAATGAGAAGAAAACCCACGGTGGCTGTTCTGGCTACAGTTGAGAAAGGAGACAAGAGGGGATGGGATGACAGCCATCGCAAAGGCCCTTTGCAGTCCAACCCCAACCTGCCTCCTCAGAGCTGGTTTGGGAGGCCAACACAGAGGACACAGACATGGAAAGAGAAAGACCAAGTGTTGTGGCCATTTCTGAGCCCCTGGACCCAGTTTAGCCTGGGAAATTCCCTTTCATTGTTGGAATTATGTCACTTTACAAGCAAGAGTGTTAACACGTAAGTGTTGATGAATTTCAGGATTGGTCGATACTTATGACGAGCCACACGCCTGCATACCCATGTACCCCTACACTCGTCTGTGGCTAAAGACTCCAATTCAAACTCCCATGAGCTTGAAGATGTCATCAAAGGGCCCTGCAGTGACCTATGGGTCCTTGCTATCACTGTGTACTCCCAGGCTCAGCTAGTCTTGCAACTTTCCCTATTCATGTCTCTCTGACTTTGACTTTGACCATGCTGCACACCCCGAGACCAGGGCTGTGTCTCTCTCATCCCTGGTGCCGGGCACAGAGCAAGTGGGCTCGGTGTGGCAGGTTTCAAGAAGGGCCACAGTATCTGTAGATTTCTCACCCAGAGGTGAGACCTATTTCCCCACCCCGCGAATCTGGGCTGGCCTTGTGACCTGTTTTAAGGAAACAAAGTAGCAGTAGTGACACCAGCTCAGGGGGTCCAGCAGCTTCCACTCTTCATGTGCGTGGCCCTGTGAACCTCCACTCGAATAAAGCTGGCTGCCTTGCTGGCGGACGAGAAAGCATTCAAAGAGAGCTGAAGCACACTACTGATGTTCAGCCATCCCCAAGGCGACACGGCGGCTCACTGCAAAAGCCTGAGTGAGTCCAGCGGAAATCAGCAGACCTGCCCAGCTCCAATGGCCGACCCACAGAATCACCAACTGAATGCACAGTTCTTGTTCCACATCCCTGAAACGTGGGTTTGGGATTGCTCAGTTACACAGACAAAGCTAACTGACACACTTCCTAAGAAATTGTCACTACAATGTAGCGACACTTTGGTTGAGAGCTCTAATTGCCAGCTAGCATTTGGTCCCGGATTCAAGCTGGAGACTCAGAGGGAAACAAGAAGGAAATCCAGGAAAACTTATTCACCAGCATGCTCCCTCAGGTGCCTTCAAACAGAGTCGCCTCCCACCCACCCTCACCAGTGACACATTTACCTCTTTTTTCTCCCGCGAGCAGGACCGGCTTCTGTCAGCCTTCCGCGGAATCTGACCTGTGGCAGTTCAAAAGCAGAACCAGAGATTAAGGCTCTTTTAAAACAGCTAGTTTATCACCGTGAAAGCTTTTTATTTGCAAACTGAATAGACGGGACCAATCATAATCAAATGATTTTAAGAAAATGTAGCCTATTATTATAGTGGGAAAATGGCATGCTCTTGAAATAGACCAACGGCAAGGAAATGGTAATTCACACGCTCACGTTATTTGACTGTAATGAACAAAGCCTCAGCTCTTTAATCTGGAACATTATCTGCACTCTGCAAGGGCCGACTGTAGATTTCCCAGTCGAATTACATTTTTATTAAATTGTTTGGAATTATATAAAATGCCTTCCACAAAAATGCCTTCCACTGTGCGCATACACATAACCTTTGATGAGTGCACACCAATGTGCTTCACCAAACCCCCAAACTCAACACCTAGGTGATGGTGCAGATGTGAATTAGCAGTAATCACCCGCATCTCCCATATAACAGGTAATTTCAGAGAGAATGTTGCTTTTCTTAGAAAATCGGAAGACTAACATTTGAGAGTGCGCATAAATTCAACAGCTCAACATCATTATGTTTAAATATGCTGTTCCAAATGCAGTTTTCACAACTTTTATGGAAGTGTCCATTGTAAAAGGATTCCTTGATGGAAAATTAATGGATGGCCTTGGTTTTAAAACACAAAGTGGGAACCTCTGTGCTTTGGCAACGTGTCTTCCAAACTATCCGGCCTCACTCTTGGGTGGCGATTTATGAGGAAATCACAACCACGTGTCCCGTGAGCCAAGAGCACGCCAAAGCAGGAGGAAGAAAGCTTAGTGATGACTCATCAAGAGGCAAGAAGTGGGGACCGAGTCTCAGAGGAAAGATGTTTGTCTCTGGTTGTGGTCGCTTCTGGTAGGTCTACACAGGTGTGGGGGACCCCATAGCTGGTGATAAAGCACAAGTCAAGGGATGATGCTCTTTCCAAGAAAGTGAAAATAAGGGGAAAAGCAAAGGTCCACAGATGACCCTCTGACCATGGCCAAATTTTTGCACCAATGTTATAAAAGGATCTAGAAAAGAGGCTGCTGGAGAGTGCACAGACACTCTGGATTACACAGCATCGTGGTATGATAGACGTCTTCTGGGTTGTCTGCTCAGCTCACAGGGACACCCTAAACTACTTCCTTCTCTCTCACTCTCCTCCCTGTCCTCAGCGGGGAGCTCCCTGGCAGCCATGACGTGGTACAGGACCCCAACCCCAGTATGGGGCACTGGGGATGGGCCCCTGACCCAACCACAGTCGATCAGAATGCCAGCCCCAGGAATTTGACATTGGTTTGGAAAGACAGAGAAGACAGAGGGCCAGAGCAGGGCTATTTCCACCTGTAAACTTTGATGCGGTCGGCACCCTCCTGCCCTGGGGGACAGACTGACACAGAATGCCAAGGCAGAAAGAACAGATCTGAAATTGACTGCATACCTGTCTTTGCGTTCCACAGACACCCACTTAATGTACCACTGACATGCTGGATGCCAACAGCGGGGGAAGGCCGTATGTGTGTGCGGACAGCGGGTATGTGACACCTCTCTGTACTTTCTACTCAGTTTTGCTATCCATCTAAAATTGCTCTAAAAAAGCTTATTAATCAAAAAAAGAAAAAAAGACCCAGAATCAGGGATCAGGTGATCTGGGTCGTTGGGCCAATTTTATCCCAACCTCCTGCCCCCTGATGCTCTGGAGCAGGAACTAGGGTGGACAGCACCCAGAAACCCTTGTCCACACCTGCCCTAGCTGTCAGTCAAGGGACTCATCGTAGGCCTGAAGGCCAACGAGAGAGGATGGCATGTCGGGTGGTAGGGCACGCGGGGCAGCACCAGGAGCCCGAAGATTGGCCTGGAGCTCGAAGGGGACAGAGAGGGTTGGAGACCAGGGTGTTCTACAGAAGCAGTCCCGAGGCGAGTAGGATCCCAGTAGGAGCAAAAAGGGCCCAGAGTGAAGCTGGGGAGAAGGAGAGCAGAGCTAGCCCAGGGGCAAACAAGGCAGTCCCCAGAGCCTGGCTACAGCTCCTCCAATGCTAGTGCAACACATGCCAAGGGACCTGGTCCAGTGGACAGCTGACCAGTTTACGGGAGCTTGGACAAGTCGCAGGATCCCACAGGATCTCTCTGGGCCATATTTTCTTCCTATTTTTTTTTTTTAATTAAAAAAATTTTTTTTAATGTTTATTTTTGAGAGAGACGGGGCATGAGTGGGGGAGGGGCAGAGAGACAGGGCGACACAGAATCCGACGCAGGTTCCTCCGGGCTCTGAGCTGTCAGCACAGAGCCCGACGCAGGGCTCAAACCGAGAACCATGAGATCATGACCTGAGCTGAAGTCAGATGCTGAACCGACTGAGTCACCCAGGTGCCCCATTTTATTTTTAAATTTTAAATGAGAGTTAGGCTAAATCACCTCTGGGGTTGCTTTTCATCTCTAAAATTCGGTTACGCCAACAGAGAACAGTAAGAAAAGTCTTAAGGTGGGCCATAAAAACAAAACATTAATACAAAGAACACAGAGCTTGCCTACTGAATTTTGAAAGCAAATCTCTCTCCTGGAGTTCGTTAGAAGCTTCTTACTCATGGGGCGCCTGGGTGGCTCAGTTGCTTAAGCAACCAACTCTTGATTTCGGCTCAGGTCAAGATCTCGCGGTTGTGGGATCGAGCTGCGCGTTGGGATCCGCCGTGAGCGTGGAGCCTGCTTGGGATCCTCTCTCTCCTTGTCTCTCTGCCTCTTCCCCGCTCACGCCAATGCACTCTCTTTCTCTCAAAATAAATCCGTAAACTTCAAAAGGAGCTTCTTGTTCATTAAATTGGGAAACAATTTGCTTACTTTCCAGTGAAGAAAATTCACTCTCATTATACACGCTTGTTCCCTAACGCCTGTGTCCTCAGGCCACTGAGCCCCTCTCTCTCTGTTCCAGGAAGCTCAATGTGGAGACTGCTCCTTCTCACCAAGGACGGAAGAAATGAGATTACATTGCCCCTGTCTACTGCACTTAGCTTCTCGGAGTATCTTCCTACTTAGATCTCGTTTTATTCTCATGACAGTCAGGGAGGGAGGTGGAAGAAGGTGACATTAACATCAATAAATGCTGCTTGCAAAATTAAGGGGGCGTTCCCCTGCATTTTGCAAGGTGACCTGTCAGCTTCAGCCATGAGACGATAAATAAGGCCAAATGTAAATGACACACGTGTACGTCGCGTTACAAAACCGATGTGTGCCTGGGGAAAAGGAAAAAAAAAAAAAAAAGGGTGTGAATGCATATAATACTACGCTCCCACTTATGACTTCAGAGAGATTTTATCCGCACTTTGGATTTATTTTCAATGGTTCGAGGATTCTGACACTTTGGTTTTACTTTGCTCTGGAGGCAGATAATAACATTCATCGCTGCCATTTAGAAGGGAGGTGCATCTTGCTTGGATGCCAGCTTCTGAAGCCAGCAGGCGAGGGAAAACCAGCGTCAAAATTACCCTCAAAAAAGCCTTAAGCCTCCTGTGAAGTGCAGTCCACAGGACACAGCCTTTTACATCCACTGCTGTGGACTACTTAGGATGTGAAATGTACGGTGCATGATAAAAATACATATGCCTGATATCATTTGATGGTATTTCTAATTAAATTATTCATATTGTAATTACTCCCTCTATTTTTCCTTTAGGGTAGAAGAAGAGTGGCAGCGGGGGAGGCTGAGGACCAGGCACCAAGTTCAAGAATGTGAGTGCTCCACTGAACCGGACACCTACTACGTGCCAGGTTCAACACACAGCCTTCATCCCCTGCATCCTCAGAACCACTCCTGGAGGTCAGGGGTCAGCGAACTTGTCTTGTAAAAGGCCAGACGGTAAAGATTTTGGCGAGAGAACAGCTACAGACGATATGTAAACAAATGGGTGCAACTGTGTTCCAATAAAACTTTATTCACAAATGCAGGCTGCAGGCCAGTTGTCAGCCCGGTTGGTCACAGCTTGCTGACTCTTGCTTTAGATGCACAGCACCATGGGGCGCTTGGGTGGCTCAGTCAGTAAAGCATCCAACTTCAGCTCAGGTCATGATCTCACAGTTTGTGGGTTCGAGCCCTGCATCGGGCTCTGTGCTGACAGCTCAGTGCCTGGAGCCTGCTTGCAGTGTCTCTCTCTCTCTCTCTATCTCTCTCTCTCTCTCTCTGCCCCTCCCCCACTCATGCTCTCTCACTCTCTCTAAAACAATAAATAAACATTAAAAAAAACAGGTGGACAGTACTATGCCCTTGGCACAAACCAAGGAAGAAATGAGACACAAACTTTGAGTGAGTGATTGAGCTGCTTTTTCAAGGCCACACAAATGTATCTGGTAAGTGACAGGGCTCAGTGTGCTCCTAATCATGAGCGTCACTAACATCATCACAATCACAAGCATGTTAATCACTGCCATTACCATGTGAGCTCACCTTAGTCAGGTTTACTATGTGCCCGGCACTGAGCTCAAGGCTAAGTACGTGAACCAACTCATGTGCTCCTCTCAGCTACCCAAGAAATAGGCACTATTATCATCCCGCTTGTCAGATGCGGTCACTGAGATCCAAAGAGGTTAGGAAGCTTGCCCAGTATCACGCAGCTAGTGACTAGAGAAGCCTCAACCTGGATCTGAGCAGTCTGGCTCCAGAGCCTACGCTCCTAACCACTGGGCCACACTGCTCCTCAGTCAGGGCTTTGAAGACAAGTACAAGAACACCAGAATGTGCCGGGGAGGGAGTCTGATTTAAGGAATTCTTTCTGCGACGCAGCTTTTGAGTGTACTTTGCACTCCTAGAGCAATTCATAAGGGGGTTAGATAAAAATGATTCCCCAATTATCCAAGAAGATGGCGTTGCCGGCCAGCCAGGTAAATGCCATAAAGTGGCCAAAACGGTAAGGCTCGGCATTAGACGCTCACTCCCATCTACTCAGGTGAAATGCTCAGCCTCGGCAGAAAGAGTTGGGCTTTGGAGAACAAATCCAGTGGAAAGAGAGGCCATGCAGGGACCTCCCCAGTGCAAAGGAGCTTCGAACAAAGAGCTTGCTTCTCTCCACTGGGGTATGGTGCCGCCATGAGGTTACTCAAATGAGCCGATTTCTTCTGTTGTCCAAATACGAGGGCTTATGTTGCTCTCATTTTATATATCTCTGGAACTTTATTTAAATGACAAATATCTCACTGAAATACCACTTACTCTCACCAGTCCGACTGGCAAAAATCAGAGGCTTGACGAGATAGTGTTGGCGAGAGCTAGAAAGCTGGTGGGAGCTTTGAGCATTGCTGGGGGAAGTACAAAATGACAGACTCCCTTTGGAAAGGTGTTTTGACAATATCCTCAAAAGTACGAATGCATTTTTCCTTTGGGGCTAGCAATATCGCTTCCAGGAACCTACTGTAAAGAATCACCTCCACGAATGGGAAACAAATGCACAAGGGTATTCACTGTATCACAATTTGCAATAACAACTGTTGGAAATGATGGGTGAGTCCGTCAGTAGGGACTGGCTGAATAGGGTGAATCCACAAATGAAATGGAATGCTGGAAGAAAGAATGGGCAAGCTGCTTATATATAAGACAGTCATATGTCAAGTGAAAAAAAATCAATAGGCAGAAAGTATATGTAGGATGCGATCTTTTCTCTAAGAAAGAGGAAAAGAAGACTACATGGGTTCTGTTTGTATAGAGAACCACCCAGAGGTACATGCACAAATGCAACAGCTCACTGTCACTTTTTCTGACGTTTATATATTTATTTTGAGGGAGAGAAAGCATGGAAGGGGCAGAGAGAGAGGGAGAGCGAGAGAATCCCAAGCAGGCTCCGTACGGTCAATGCAACACCCAATGCGGGCTGGAACTCACGAACCGTGAGATGATGTACAAGCCTAAATCAAGAGTCGGATGCTTAAACGACTGAACAATCCAGGGTGCCTCACTGTTACTTTTTATATTGTTTTGATTTTTGAATGGTTTGGACCCATTTTCTATCGAGAAAATTAAAAGAAACTTAAAATATTAAATGTCCAAAAGCCAGATTCAAATTAAAAACAAAACAAAACCAAACAATGGGAAACGCTGTAGAACGTTCCCATGAGAGAACCTAAGAGGGTGGTCTACGGGGGGAGAGGGGAGTAGCCTCTGTGAACTTCAGCACCCCGAAGCTTTGCCGGAAAGACAACGCAGTATTTTAGGAAAAAGAAAAAAGCAAGAACAAGGAAAGGAAAATCGAGACCTGTCCGGATGGGTTGCCTGGGAATCATGGTTTCCTAGTGCTTACAGAGCATCTACACACGCGCCCCCCCCCCCAACAACTCCATGTTCTTCCCCAGGTGAGAGCTCTTAAGATTCCCTTATCATGCACAACAAAGCCACGTGGCTCAGAGAAGCAAAGTAACTTGCCCAAGGTCACAGAGCAAGGAAGGGGAAGAACCTGGTTAACAACCAGTCATTCTGGCTGCTAATCCAGTGTTCAGTACACCCTGGTGCCTGCCGGCACCCCCTTGTCAAGCCCAGGAATGGGAGCACCCCGCCCCCGCGTGCCTTCAGCCCCATGCCAGCTTCCTGGACCTTGATCGTGACTTCCACCTACAGCCTTGGTTTGCAAAGATACCTGTGGCAGAGTAAGGAGGCAGGGAGGCGGACCCAGAAGCCTGCCCAGCCTCAAGGGCAATCACTGTTTGGCTCCTGCCGCCTGTTTCCATGCAGGAATGCGGGCCCGGTCTTGTTGGATCAGATTTTTCCAGAAGTCCAGTCTTATAAGACAGCTTCTAATTTTAAATATTGACAATTACAAAAAAAAAAATGTAAAGCTCTGTACAGATGCAACAAAACAGGCTTCTAGTTTCTAACCTAATAGGTAACTAGGCAGAAGACTAGAAAATTTTCCATTATTTACCTCGATGCGGCAGAACCATGGTGGGGGGGAGGGGGGCGAGGGGGAGAGCTCTTTAAGGACATTTCATCATAGCAACAGAAATCTGTTAGACAAAAAGCATGACTGTTTGGAAGACAGGTAAACGTGGGCTCTGCGACACACTTTCAAATTCTTTCAAATTCCCCATGTGCTGCCTCCAGGCTGGTTCTGGGACTTGAAGTTACATTCTGTCTCCTGAAAGCCCGAAACAATATCCCTGTCACTCTTCCTTTGCATTTTCTGTGTAACTCAAATTCCCGGGACCCAGTTTACTGCCAAATTACCTGAGATAAACAAGTCATGCTAAGATCCTCTTTTCCTCTCCAAACCCAAACAGCAGCTGGCAGCTAGAAATGGTTATTTATAACCTGCACACTGTTATGCACATTTTCTTGTGCACTTCTAAAAATGCTTAGCCGTGCATTCTTTGGCTGCCTTCATAATTAGATGAGAGCCTGGGGACAATGCCGTGCGGTAGCAGAGAAGGTAGGCTCTGGGTCAGCCTGTCTGGCTCAGCTTCTCATTACCTGTTTAGAAACCCCGATACCGTAATTCCATTTCGGTCTATTGTCAGTGTTAAGACAGTACAAATGAAACGATTAGAGCAGTGCCTGCACACAGTAGGTGATGGGGTTTGGAGTGGGGGTGGGGATCCAGAGCTGATGGTCAAGAAGGAATTCTTGAGATGTCTTTGGGGCAAAAAGATTTATTAAAGCACGGGGACAGGGCCCACGGGCAGAAAGAGCTGCACTGGGGTTGTGAAGAGTACTATTATATACTATGGAGTTGGAGGAGGTAAAGTCAAGAGGAAGTTTCTTAAAAGGGATTTTCCATATGCTAAAGCCTCACAGATCACTGGAGGCCTAGCTATTGTCAAGCTAAGGTTGTTTTTCCCTCTAGCAAAGCATTAAGACAGTAGGGAGTTCCTGGAGAAGGTTTTACTCTGCCTGCCTCAAGTGTTTGTCACCTGGCTGCAGGTTATAAGGAAATTTAATTTTACCTGCCATTTCCTTCTTGCCTTTGTTCCCCACATCACTATGGAGGGGAGGGTGATGTTGGGGCTCCAGGAAACAAGCCTATAGGTTTCTGGAGATTAGGCTATTGATAAGATTGCCTTTTTCTTGTAATTTACTAAGGTATTTGTAAATGGATGGAGACTCGCGTCCTGCAGGACTGTGATCTCTATCAGTTAACCATCTGTTTTCTGTCCTTTCCTTTGTTCTTAGGCAGCCAGGAGTCCACGAGGAATATACGTATCCCACCTGGGGTGGGGGATGGGAGGTATGCTAGCTTGTGCTTGGCCTTCGGCTTGCCTTATGCTCCCTCATCAGAAGAGACATCAGTAGACATCCCTGGAGTCTGTGAGTGAATGAATGAATGAATGAATGAATGACCAAATTTTTTGAATGGATAAATGCTGGGAGGACAAGAGGTAAGAGTACGAGAAGCTGTAAAGACTTCATCTTCTCTCACAATGTATTTTCCTGATCCTTCCCCCCCTGCTTTTTCTCAGATGGTGAAATGAAATATGACAAAGTGGGTTTAATACACCACTGGAGATAATTGGAAAATATTGATTTTTCTTCATTTGAAACGGTAAAGATAAGAAAGTGCCACACTTCTGTAATCTAATCAGTGGCTTATGTGACAACATGCTTCCCAGGCTAAAATGTACTTTGGTCGACCTCTGTATCCATCACACAAGTTCCCAAATGCATTCCAACTACACCCGCCAGCCCAGCCCCATCCTTCCATCCCAGCTCCTGGCTGAACACAAGTGGGGACACGGCGTTTGTGAATCTATGTGAGCACGTATGTACACATACAAATTAAAGCGTCTTCTCAGTATTTGCGTTCCACACCCCCCACCCCAATGATCGGCAAAACAGCCCTGGAAACCGTAAGAAATGATGCATGAGATCCCCCAGAATCCTAAAGAAAAAGAGACATTCCTGCCTCTGACAGCTAATTTTTACTGAGAACCTATTAAGTACTGGGTACCATTTTAAGAGCTTTATTTATGTTTCTTTATTTTTGAGAGAGAGAGAGAGAGAGAGAGTGGGGAAGGGGCAGAGAGAGGGGGACAGAGGATCTGAAATGGGCTCTGTGCAGCAGAAAGCTGCATGCAGGGCTCGAACTCACCAACCATGAGATCATGACCTGAGCTGAAGTTGGATGCTTAACTGACTGAGCCACCCAGGGGCTCTGTTAAGGGCTTTATTTTTTAATTTACTTTTTAAAGTAAACTTTTAAAAGTCTTTTTTAATTTTTTTTATTTTAGAGAAAGAGTGAGAGAGAGAGTGCAGGAGTGGGGTAGAGGGTCAGAGGGAGGAGGGGGGAGAGAGAGAGAGAGAGAGAGAGGGAGAGAGAGGGAGAGAGAGAGAATCTTAAGCAGGCTTCACACTCAGTGCAGAGCCCAAGGCGGGGCTCGATCCCAGGACCGTGGGATCATGACCTGGGCCAAAATCAAAAGAGTCAGATGCTCAACTGACTGAGCCACCCAGGCGCCCCTTAAGGGCTTTAAATAGATGAATTCATATGATTTTCACGGCAGCCTTATGACGTAGTCCTCCTATTAATCTCTATTTTATAATTTAAGAGTCCAGGCACTGAGAGATGAAGTAACTAATCTCCCAAGGTCATGTGGCCTCAGGACCAGAACCCCCTTGGTCGGTCTCTGCACTCTGCTCCTTCTTCTCCTCTCCAAGATGAGGAAGGCTCACAGAGTGAGCACCTCTAACTTGAACAGGGTGAGCAGGAGAGCGAGTCCAATCCTCTGCCCTGGTTTTTTCAGAGTTGCCTTCTGCAGGCTTAAAATAAAATCTCCACCTCAAATCATGCAAGAGGCAGGACTTCCCACCACAAAGGCTCATCAGGAGGGAGGCTTTGCAATGGCGGCGGGGCGGGTACAGAAACGGATCCAGGCTGGTTCTCCCGCAAGTGGCCACCTTAACTCCCCAGGCCTCGGCCTCCACATCTGATAAATGACAGCAATCAGACCAGATCGGAAGTTACTCAACTGGCTGAATCCAGGCCACAGACATTTGTTTGGTCTCCATAATGTTTAAAAAAAAATTTTTTTTTTGCAGCCAACAGCTTGGGAGATTTCACATTTTAAAATCCTGAGTTCTGGATTGTTTTTGAAAAACTAGAAGATCTGGCAACACCAGGCTTGCCTTCCTGCCTGGCAACAGTTGTCAGGAGCCGGCAGATGGCTGGTATCCTCTGGCTCCTGGCCCCCTAGCTCTCTGTCTCGCTGCCACTTTGGTCTGACAGGCTTCTCCCTAAAGATGAAAGTGAAGGTCTGTGTGTCCACACCTCTAGCAAAAGTGAGAATCATTACCATCATCACCCTAATTGCAGCTAGCACATTTATACTTATCGTATGCCAGGTCCTGATCTAAGGGCTTTGCATCCATGAACGCATTTAATTTTCACAATAACCCCAGGAGATGGAACAATTATTATCTCTTTTCTACAGATGATGGAGGTATGGAAGAGGCTACATGCTTCAAGGAATTAGTAGACAATCGAGTCCTTTATGACATGGAGGAATAGTCCCAGGTATGCAAAGTGTACGTAGGTGTTGAAAGAATCTGACATCAAGCAGCATAATGAAATAAACCCCAGTCACTGTGGTCATTTACATTACCTGCCTGGACCCTGCAGGCTTCTAAACCTGTATTCCTGCACGGGATCCTCAGAGTTTGGAAATCTATCAGATTCCCTGGACTAGATCTGTTAAGTCCCTCCTGGATCTGACTGTCTGTGATTTTAGGTAGGTTCATAAAAAGGTACATAAATAGTTTGGGATTCTTGAGAGAGTGTGTGTGTGCATGCACACACACACACACACACACACACACACACACACACATCGCATTGCAAGGTCACTCAGAGTTTATAAGAGTGTAGTGGTCCCTGCAGGGCTTCTGTGGTTGGTGACCAGTCATCTGTGACGCCCCACCTTCCTGCCTGGTGCTGCATTTGCCTATAACCCTCCAATGACATGTTAAGTCTCCAGAGAATCCATCAGCTATGGGGGGTCAAGGCAGCATCAGAGTTAGAAATGAGGCAGGAGATAGGGGTGATGGTGACTCACTGGGGCAGAAAATGGGGGAAGAATGCTAGCTGAAAAATAGACGGAGTACAGACTAACAGAGGCCAGGGGTACAGTAAAGGTAGCCAGGTCAGGACATATTATTAGGACTGGGTTGAACTACTCCAAAGGGCAACGTCTGGGGGAAAGAGGAAGATTGAGATGCAAGGACTTTTTCCCTGCCTGCTTTATGGAGACCAGCTACCAATTCGCTAAGGGACAAATCAGTTCATCTCTTCCCTGATTATGACGTCAGCCCAGCAAACACTCATGTACATCTCCCTGTGCCACTCCTTGGGCCAAGTGTTGGGCATATAAAGGAACAGGAGTGGGTCTCTATCCCCAAAGAGGAGAAAAGGCTCGGAGCCCAACACCTGTAATACAGCATGGGACATGAGGGCTATGGGATCCCGTCGTGTGGGAGGATTAATTCAGCAGGTGATGTCGGTCACCATCATCTACAGCGTGGAGGTGACTTGAAAGAAGGAGACAGCTGGCAGGGAACACGGCAAGGGGAAGGCAGGGAGGTGGAAAAGAATATAGCGTATGCAAGAAACAGCCAGCTTTCCGAGGTGGCTTGGGCAGGGGTTAATTTTCAGGTGCCCATAGGCTCAGGCGAATATTCTCAATGCAAGAAAAGAGCACTTGATGACAGGTGCTACCAGCCAGAAGAGGTCAAACTGTCATCA